CCTGCCCCCAAGCGTCATTATCCGCCCACCAGCGGGATGTGCTTTGCTGGCTGCCAGGCATAACAAATCACTCCTACGCTTATCCACCCACCAGCCTAGCAGCTTCTTGCAGGATTACACTAAAGTATATATGGCTCTGAATACAAATACATCTCATATATATGCATAATTACAAACCTGCTGTGGGCATAGAGCATGCAACATTTTCAGGGAGCACAGGAAGTGTTGCTCAGGGAAGGTTTAGGTTGGTGAAGGGAACCTTTTTCAGGCCAGGGGCCACATTCAGTGCTGCACAACCTTCTTAGGGCCACAGCACCTCCATCCAGGCAAGCAAGCAAGAGGCATTCTCAGAGTTCACAATGCCTAGACTCTTTATGTTCAAAAGAACTTTACTTTCATGAACGTATAACCGAGAAGAATATATTTACAATCTCATTCTTATTCACTTTGTTCTTTATAGAGAGCTCTTGTGCAGGTTTCTTCCTCTGTCTGTTTCTGGAGAAAGTGGGTGGGAGTTCCATATACTCCAAAGCTAAGAGCTTAGGAACATTGAAAACACAAGGTGCTTCCATTTCAAGAGAATGGGGTGCAAGTGCCGTATTTTTCGTTCCATAAGACACACCTAGTTTTTGGAGGAGGAAAACAAGAAAAAAAATATTCTGAATCCCAGAAGCGATCCCTCTTGCTGTTCTGGCTTCTGGGATAGCTGCACAGCCTGCATTCGCTCCATAAGACACACATACATTTCCCCTTACTTTTTAGGAGGGAAAAAGTACGTCTTATAGAGCAAAAAATACGGTACTTTTCCGAGCATAATTCAAAGTCTTGGTGCTGACCTTTAAAACCCTCAATGGCCTTGACCCGTTATACCTGAAGGAACGTCTCCTCCCCCATCATCCAGCCTGGACACTGAGGTCCTCCTCCAAGGGTCTTCTGCTGGTTCCCTCCCTGCGAGAAGCAAAGTTACAGACATCTGAAGGCAGCCCTGTATCGGGAAGTTTTTAATGCTTGATGTTTTACTAGGTTTTCATATATGCTCTAAGCTGCCCAGAGTGGCTGGGGAAACCCAGCCAGATGGGCCGGGTGTAAATAATAAAATTATTGTAAGTTCTGTTACATATCATGGAACTTCATGGAAAACACAATTCTTTCACTCCGAAAGAAGATATTGGTGTGCTCCAAATCACTTGTGTTTGCAGAAAATAGTAGCTCCAGCTGAAAAGGCAACATGTGGAAATCTGCAATGATCATTGCAATGCATTCCTAATTATTATTATTACAGTATAATCTTAGAAGGATGACTCTTAGAAGGGCGTGAGGCTGTGAATTGGCATGGCTAGGAGTGTCATGAAAACACTTCAGAATTGGTCTCTACACTGCTGATTGGGGGGTCATATTAAAAATGCCTCCCCATTCATTCCCTCCATTATCTTTTTTTAAATATAATATATTTATTAAGATTTTTAAAAAAATATTACAATAATAATGAGGAGAAAAAAAAGATGACAAAAATACAAAATAAAAATAGTTAAAAACACATAGATTTTCCATTACTTATTTTCCTTTGACTTATTTCCTGGACCTCCTCATACCTCCCTTTTTTGTATTCCACTTCAATCTGTTGGTTCAGCAAATCCTTTAAAAGTAATAATATTAACTTTTTGCCTATTTATAACCCTTTTTTCATATTCCCTTAAAGCATTACAGCTGGAAACCACTTAATTACTATCCAACATCATTCTAACATTCATTAATTTTACAATATTTCTGTAGATAATCTTTAAATTTCTTCCAATCTTCTTCCACCGACTCTTCTCCCTGGTCTCGGATTCTGCCAGTCATTTCTGCCAGTTCCATATAGTCCATCACCTTCATCTGCCATTCTTCCAGAGTGGGTAAATCTTGTGTCTTCCAATACTTTGCAATGAGTATTCTTGCTGCTGTTGTGGCATACATAAAAAAAGTTCTGTCCTTCTTTGGCACCAATTGGCCGACTATGCCCAGGAGAAAGGCCTCTGGTTTCTTCAAGAAGGTATGTTTAAATACCTTTTTCAGTTCATTATATATCATTTCCCAGAAGGCCTTAATCCTTGGGCACGTCCACCAAAGGTGAAAGAATGTACCTTCATTTTCTTTACATTTCCAACATTTATTATCGGGCAAATGGTAGATTTTTGCAAGCTTGACTGGGGTCATGTACCACCTGTATATCATTTTCATAATATTCTCTCTTAAGGCATTACATGCTGTAAATTTCATACCTGTGGTCCACAACTGTTCCCAGTCAGCAAACATAATATTATGTCCAAGATCTTGTGCCCATTTAATCATAGCAGATTTCACCATTTCATCCTGAGTATTCCATTTCAACAGCAAGTTATACATTCTTGACAAATTCTTAGTTTTGGGTTCTAACAGTTCTGTTTCTAATTTTGATTTTTCCACCTGGAAGCCAATTTTCTTGTCCAAATTATATGCCTCCATTATCTGATAATAATGAAGCCAGTCTCGCACTTTATTTTTTAGTTTCTCAAAACTCTGCAGTTTCAGTCTATCTCCATCTTGTTCCAAAATTTCCCAATATTTCAGCCAATTGGCCTCCATATTGAGCCTTTTCAAGGCTTTCGCTTCCATCGGTGACAGCCACCTTGGGGTTTTGTTTTCCAACAAATCCTTGTATCTTATCCAAACATTAAACAGTGCTTTCCTGACAATATGGTTTTTAAATGCTTTATGCGCTTTAACCTTGTCATACCACAGATATGCATGCCATCCAAATACATTGTTAAAACCTTCTAAGTCCAAAATGTCTGTGTTTTCAAGAAGCAGCCATTCTTTCAACCAGCAAAAAGCTGCTGATTCATAGTAAAGTTTAAAGTCTGGCAGGGCAAATCCACCCCTTTCCTTTGCATCAGTTAATATCTTAAATTTTATTCTGGGCTTCTTGCCCTGCCAGACAAATCTAGAAATATCTCTCTGCCACTTCTTGAAACAGTCCATCTTGTCCACGATTTGCAATGTTTGAAACAAAAACAGCATTCTAGGCAATACATTCATTTTTATCACAGCAATACGACCCAAATTTGACCAGATTTCTAAATCTTTTTTCACTTCTGTCCAACATTTTTCATAATTATCTTTAAATAAGTTCCCATCATTCCCTCCATTATCATGTACTGTAAGTGTGCATTATGGAACAATATGCATGTGATTTGTGGATTTATGTGCTTATATGTGCTTTTTATGTATATATTTGCATATATTTGCATATTATTATTTTGTGCATTTGGGGGTGGGGTCAGTGTTAAATGAGCAGCTCAAACAAATCTCGAGTGTGTCAGAATCCACAAATCTGTATCAAAGTTGATGCACATTCCTAGAACATCCTTATGGATAGCTCAGTTGGTTAAAGTGTGATACTGATAACAGTAAGGTTGCAGGTTCGATTCCCATGTGGAACGGCTGCGTATTGCAGAGACTTGGACTAGATGATCCTTGAGGTGGTTAGATTGGTCTCAACTAGGGCCAGGGCCTTTTCAGTACTGGCCCCGACTTGGTGGAACGCTCTGTCACAAGAGACTAGGGCCCTGCGGGACTTGACATCTTTCTGCAGGGCCTGCAAGACAGAGCTGTTCCACCTGGCCTTTGGTTTGGACTCAGTCTGACCCTTATGTTTCCCTCCCCTTATGGTTTTGATCTATGGGCTACTTTTAAAATGAGGCTGCATTTTAAATTGCATTTTAACCTGTATTTTAAATTGGTTCCCCCCCCCCTTACGTTTTTACTGTGATTTTATTGGTGTTAGCCACCCTGAGCCCGGCTCTGGCCAGGGAGGGCGGGGTATAAATAAAATTTATTATTATTATTATTATTATTATTATTATTATTATTATTAATTTTCCAACTCTGCAATTCTAGGATTCTATGATTCTATGTCAGGCAACATTCTGGAATCCAGATTCTTTGTGCTCTGTCCTTGGTACTGAAACCATCATTTCAGCTCACAGCTGGGCTGTTTCACATTTGAATGCTCTCCCACAGAAAACCCTTCCTTTCTGCACACAGAAAAATAATATGTTAGGGAGAAAGATTATCCCTGAGAAACTGTCTTTCTATGAAGAACATTCAAAGAATCAATCATCTGTCTCACTTGTGGGAAGACAGTCGGGGGGGGGGCAGGGAGAGCATTCATAGAACTGTAGAGTTGAAAGGAGGACCAAGGTTCATCTAGTCCAACCCGCTGCAATAATTAGTAAATAGTAATTAGTAATTAGTAATTAGTAATTAGTAATCAATAATCAATAATCAATAATTAATACCCCACCCATTCCTGCAATGCAGGAATCTCAATTAAAAGATGGCCAGTGAACCTCTGTTTGAAAACCCCCAAGGAAGGAGAGTCACCCCCCCCTAGGATGACTGTTTCCTTGTCAAAAACCTCTTACCATCAGAAAGTTCTTCCTGATGTTTAGTCAGAATCTCCTACCTTGCAACTTGAAGCATTTCATCTGGGTCCTACCCTGCAGACGAGCAGGAGAAAACAAGCTTGCTCCATCTTCCATGTGGCAACCGTTGAGATATTTGAAGAAGGTTGTCATATCTCCTCTCAGTCTCCTCTGATTCAGGATAAACATACCCAGCTCCCTCAACTGTTCCTCATCAGGCTTGGTTTCCAGACCTTGATCATCTTGGTCACCCTCCTCTGCACGTGTTCCAGCTTGTCAACATCCTTCTTAAATTGTGGCACCTAGAAGCAGACTCAATACTCCAGATATGGTCTGACCAAGGCAGAATAGAGCTGTAATATTACTTCCCTTGATCTGGACACTAGACTTTGTTTGATGCAGCTCAGAATAGCATTAGCATTTTTAAAACTGTTGTATCACACTGTTGACTCATGTTAAACTTGTGGTAAGAAGACCCCCAGATCATTTTTGCATGTGCTACTGGCAATCCAGGTCCCACCTTATATTTGTGCATCATTGTTCCTTGCTTCTGCAGATTGTGTCAGCTCGGTCGGTAGAGCATGAGACTCTTAACCTTAGGGTTGTGGGTTCGAGTCTAATCCAGAATGCAACAGCTAGACTGGTGACTGGGAGCGGTCGCCGGGACCACATAACACTGGTCCTGAGAGATCTGCATTGGCTCCCTGTACGTTTCCGAGCACAATTCAAAGTGTTGTTGCTGACCTTTAAACGGCCTCGGTCCTGTATACCTGAAGGAGAGTCTCCACTCCCATCGTTCAGCCCAGACACTGAGATCCAGCGCTGAGGGCCTTCTGGCGGTTCCCTCACTGTGAGAAGCGAGGTTACAGGGAACCAGACAGAGGGCCTTCTCGGTAGTGGCTCCCGTCCTGTGGAACACCCTCCCTTCAGATGTGAAGGAAATAAGCAGCTATCCTATCTTTAAAAGACATCTGAAGGCAGCCCTGCTTAGGGAAGTTTTTAATACTTAATGCTGTATTGTTTTTAACACTTGATTGGGAGCCGCCCAGAGTGGCTGGGGAAACTCAGTCAGATGGGTGGGGTATAAATAATAAATTATTATTATTATTATTATTATTATTATTATTATTATTATTTTGGGCAAAAGTTTCCTGCATTGCAGGGAGTTGGACTAGATGACCCTCATCGTCCCTTCCAGCTCAACAATTCTACGATTCTATGATCTGTTCCTGATATACTTTCAGTAAAGAAAAGGACTGGAACATCTAGCAACAGCTGTATTTTTCTGCCCTGATAGCAGAGCATTTGTCTTTGTAATTTGCAACAGTGCCTTGACTGATTAGGGGCACAGGGTTTCCACTCGCCTGCATCTTTTCCAAGGGAGCTATTTACTTTCCTGCCTGTGTTTTGCATCCAGCTCTTTCCTGTCCCTCATGAAAGGAGGTTATATTTACAGCCCTGCTAACTGCATGGGTGATAGCGGCACCGTATAACCGCTGAAGCAAATGATGGATACGGCTGAGATTATCATGCTCATCTCTCTGAGAGAATTTGCAGATTCTGGAGGGCTGCAGTGAATATGATTTTAACACCTCTTTCTTGTTTCCTAGCAATGTACCACCTCCAGGGCTCATAAGCAGCATGGACCGACCCCCCCCCCACCTTCCTCCTTTCTTCTCGGTGAACAATCGGCACTTCCCACCTTGGGGGAAATAACTCAGCCACACTGGCATCAGTAGATGAGGGAGCAACAGTGTGATGTTGAACAGGGGACCAGAGGGAAAAGTACAATAAAAATGTAGAAGGCAAATGGGGACTGTGATTGATGCACTGTTTATTTCTGCTGCTTCTATGGTCTCAGTCAGCTGGGCAGCTGTCCAAATATCAGGTTAAAAAGGAAAGGAAAGGAAAGGAAAGGAAAGGAAAGGAAAGGAAAGGAAAGGAAAGGTCTTTATTAAGGTGGAAATGGAACTGTGATAAATCTCCCTTAGCCAGAGGTTACTCACATCCAAAATAGATTGTGCTCAGCCTTTAGGATTGGTCCCAGTAGCTGCTCCCAGTCACCAGTCTGGCTGCCATATTCTGGATTAGTTGTAGTTTCTGAGTCATCTTCAAAGGTAGCCCCACATAGAGTGCATTGCAGTAGTCCAAGCAGGAGATAATCAAAGCATGTACAACAACATGTACAACAACAACAGCAGCAGCAGCAGCAGCAGCAGCAGCAACAACAATAATTTATTTGTACCCTGCCCATCTGGCTGGGCTTCCCCAGCCACTCTGGGCGACTTCTAACAAAGATTAAAAATACATTAAAATGTCACACATCAAAAACTTTCCCTTCAGATGTCTTCTAAATGTCAGGTAGTTGTTTATTTCTTTGACATCTGCTGGAAGAGCATTCCACAGGATGGGCGGCACTACTGAAAAGGCCCTTTGCCTGGTTCCCTGTAGCTTTACTTCTCACAGGGAGGGAACTGCCAGAAGGCCCTTGGCGCTGGACCTCAGTGTCCGGGCAGAACGATGGGGGGGGGGGAGATGCTCCTTCAGGTATACAGGGCCGAGGCCACTCTGGTCTGACAGTGCGCAGGCAGGTAGGGTCTCAGCCGGTGTACCAGATGGAGCTGGTAGACAACAGCCTTGGACACATAATAGACATGCACCTCCATGTACAGCTATGAGTCCAAAATGACTCCCAGGCTGTGCACCTGGTCCTTCAGGACCAAGGAGTCCCCTAGACCTGCCCACCCCCTATCCCCCATGTCAGGGAACTGCCATCAGTGCTGGAGGGAGAGAGCAAAAGCCAGAGGGATTCCAGAGAGCGTCCAGGGATTGGGAGAAGCAGCCCATCTTCTGGGGAAGAGAATCAGCGTAGCACCAGTGGAGAAGGGGGGCAGATGGGGGAAGCGGCGAGGCGGTCCCATGACTCCTTGCCTGGGACCAGCGGGGAGAGTAGGGGTCCTCCGTTGCCCACGCCCTCCTTGCGCAGAAGGCTTTCGCGCAGAGAGGGTAGGCGGAGACTAGGCGTCAAGGAGCTTCTTTGCTGGAAGAAGTTTAAGAAACGCCCACTGACGGATTCTGCCAGCGACTGAGTCAGCCACGGGTGAGTGGCGTCCGGACAGATAAAGTTTACTTAGGCAGCCCAGCCAGGTGTTTGCACCCAGCCAGGGAGATAGTTGCCTGCTTACGCATGAGCAACCCCTTAGAAACCTTTACACCCCAGAAAGAGTACTTCTGTCTTGTCAGGACTCATTCTCAATCTGTTAACCACCATCCATCTTCCAACCACCTCCAGAGACTCACACAGGATCTTAACCACCTTCACTGGTTCTGATTTAAACAAGAGGTAGAGTTGAGCATCATCCACATACTGGTGAACACCCAGCCCAAACCCCCTGATGATCTCTCCCAGCTTCATGTAGATAGGTTGTATCTAGTAGTGTTTCTATACCACCACTTCCTCCCCATTTTGGTGGAAAATTCTTCCTCCTGTGCACATCAGTGCATCTGATATTTTTTTGCTGATCTGTCTAAATCCTGTTCCCTTCTAGGCCCCATAGGAAAGGGGGAGAAAAAATAAATTCTGTGAACTTGTCTAATCTGCACTTTCGGAAGCAATATGTGAACCAAAGTATGGCTATCTTTCAAAATTTGTATTTCTCTGAATTTTGTAATGAAGTTCGCTGGCTATGAATTGTGTACAAGAATGCATATACTAGGGTAAAGTGATAGAAGATCTATCTCTCACACACATGTATGACAGATTCTTCAGATAGCATCTGCTTTAAGGTGCAATTCTGTTCATCGGCTGTGGGGGTAGCTCAGTAGGTAGAGCATGAGACTCTTAATCTCAGAGTTGTGGGTTCGAGTCCCAGGTTGGGTGAAAGATTTCTGCATTGCTGGGGGTTGGACTAGATGACCCTTGTGGTCGCTTCTATGGATCTATGTCCACAGTGACATGTGCAGTGAAATGCTATGGGGTGGAGCAGCTGATTTTCACGAGAGAGGTTTCAGGTTCCACACCCAGTAGCATCTCCAGGGAAGGCTTGGGATGTTCCCAGCCTATAACCCTAGAGAGCTGCTAGACAGACCAGTGCTCTGATATGTTATAAGGTGGATTTCTACGCTGAGGAAGTATGCCCACATAGCAGGCAGCAAGATGGAGATGTTTCCTGAAGGAGCGTCTCCACCCCCATTGTTCAGCCCGGACACTGAGGTCCAGCGCTGAGGGCCTTCTGGCGGTTCCCTCCCTGCGAGAAGTGAAGTTACAAGGAACCAGGCAGAGGGCCTTCTCGGTAGTGATGCCTGCCCTGTGGAATGCCCTCCCAGCAGATGTCAAGGAAATAAACAACCATCTGACTTTTAGAAGACACCTGAAGGCAGACCTGTTTAGGGAAGTTTTCAATGTTTGATCTTCTATTGTGTTTTTAATATTCTGTTGTGAAACCCAGCCAGATGGGTGGGGTATAAAAAAATTATTATTATTATTATTATTATTATTATTATTATTATTATTCTGACTATGTAGGCTTGTTTCGTCATTCGGTGGCCATGGGCTAGTGGATGACTCAGTCTGCTTGCCCTGGGGGCAATCTTCTCTTATCCCTTGTACTGCAGCTTGACCATCCACACATCATGGTGGAAAGGAATGAGCATCTTCAGAGAGGTGTTTTTGTTTGTTTGAATCTTCACGTTGGCCGTTGCCTTGGCGCTGCCGGAGATTGCGAGGAGGAGGCCACACGGATCAACCGCCCTCGCGAAGTCTCCGTGGGCGAGATCCGTTAATTACGTGGGAGAGAGAGCAAGACAGCAATCTCCCGCGGAGGAAGGAGAAATTGATTTGTTGGCTCGGAGCATCGAGGTTGCAGGAGAGAAAGCCAAGGGGGCCATCAGGTTCCTGGATTGTTCACGTCGTACCAAAACGGAGAGTTCAAATGTTGGAAATGGAAAACTTAAGAAGAGCGCTTGGCATTTGCGTGCTCCTTGAAAGTTCTCCAAGTGTTTCATGCGCAACATCTCAGTAGCCCCAGCAACTCTTCAAGGAAAGCCTGCAGTTTGATAGCAGGGGGGCAGGGTGAGAGAAAGACACTTGCTGAAGGCAGATTAAGGACAAACAAAAGAAAGTGCTTCTTCACTCAGGGCATAGTTATACTATGGAACTCGTACTGTTGAGAGTGCATTAACTTATGGTCTGTGTGTGTGGTTTGGGAGCTGCACGGTCAGGGGAAAAACAATGCTGTCCAGGGTTGTAAAGACTGCGTAGAGAATAACTGGGTGCACTCTTCCCACCTTGGATCAAATCTATGCTTCCAGGTTCAGAAGAAAGCTGCAGGGATAGTGCAGGATGGTACGCACCCCGGAAATTATCTCTTTCAGCTTCTGCCTTCTGGAAGAATGTAAGGTAAAGGTAAAGGGACCCCTGACCATTAGGTCCAGTCGTGGCCGACTCTGGGGTTGCGGCGCTCATCTCGCTTTATTGGCCGAGGGAGCCGGCGTACAGCTTCCGGGTCATGTGGCCAGCAGGACTAAGCCGCTTCTGGCGAACCAGAGCAGCATACGGAAACGCCATTTACCTTCCTGCCGGAGCGGTACCTATTTATCTACTTGCGTTTGGACGTGCTTTCAAACTGCTAG